ATAGCTTGCAACACAGTCTGCACATGAATGACACCCTCGACACTCACTTCTGGTTCCTTCCTCAACCAGGTTCCTGCAGTTGAACAGTTATCCCTCTACTCTACACCTGACGAAGCTATTAATTTTTATGAGAAACTCTGAGGATTTTAGTTGTAGTTATACTGAAATTTCCCAATGAAACACACTTATAACATGAACACGAAATTGAAATTATTTACAGGCCTTTGAAATACGAACGACCCTTTTTCATAAACTCCTTTCATTTTACCTTCAAACTTGGCTACAAAATCCCATGACTACTAAACTGTAGTATGTTTTTTCTTGAATAAATTAGTAAATATTTCTAGCTTCAGTGTTACTTTGTTATTGTTATTTTTAATTATTAAAAAGACACTTTGCTGTCTCTGGATCTAATGGGTTTCTGTAATGTGTTTTTATAATGAATTCTTAAAATATCTGCATCTTGATATTGACATATGCAACACCTTGGGTAGATCTCAAGGCTGAGTGAAAAGAGAATCTCAGAAGGTCACATACTGTATGATTCCATTTACATGATATTCTTGAAATGACAAAATTATAGAAACGGAGGACAGATGAGTGGTCGTCAGGGGTTAGGGAAGCGGGAGGAACATGGTGGGGCTATAAGAACGAAGCAGAGTCCTCGTGGGATGGCAGTGTCCTGTATGTTGACACAAATCTACACGTGTGATAAAACTGCATAGGCCTAGACATACATGCACACAGGAGCGCAGATACAGCTGGCAGTGTCCTGTATGTTGACACAAATCTACACGTGTGATAAAACTGCATAGGCCTAGACACACGTGCACACAGGAGCACAGATACAGTCGGTGCAGCCTCCGCAAGTCGATGGACTCTGTCAGTGGCGACTTCCCGCTTGCACGACAGTTGGCAAGGTGCCACTACTGGAGAAAATGGAGCGAATCTACTCTCTCTACAGGATTTCCATACTACTTCTTACAACTGAATGTGAATATATAATTACCTCAAAATAAAAAAAGTTTAAAATCCTACATAATTGCTTCCTGTTTCCCACATAACCCTCATTATGTGTAGGGATCACCAAGTACATTGCAGGGCAGGGGAAACCATACCCATTATTACATTTTTATGTCTTGAACTAGGAAATGCCCTAAATAGGCTACAGTAAAGCCCAAGGTTAGTTTTCACTTAGAGCAATAGCAAAATCAACACTTCAAGCTCAAGTGCCCCCAAAATTTTCTATATTCTATGTTCTCCAACGTTAATTAAAAGGTATCTCCTGGCTTTGCCAAATTTCTAATGGGTTTTGCTTGTTTTTTAAATACAGAATAGGAATCACAAAACTCACTTTAAAACTGATGAGATTATTTCATAATACGAAAAACATTCATAATAAATGCCTTAAATGGTTTAGAATAAAAAGGCAAACGGGCCCACCGTTCAGCCTACTCCAAAACCAAAAACTTTCTCACACTTTCTAGTTCAATGTCATTTTACATAAAAATCACATTACTCTTACCCTACTAAGAATTCTTACCAATTCAGAAATGTCACATATTATTCATCAGATAAAAAGCTCAATAGCAACGCATAACAATATATTCTGAGATCAAGTTTTTCAAAACGAAGCCACCAAAGCTAAAGATTTCTTCTTTACTCTTCCTCCTCCGGAGGCTATCGTGAGTGTGGGGTAAGGCACTATCTCCTTGGAGAACAGCTATTAGGACCCAGAGCCTAAAAGCCCTAAGAGTACATGGAGTCCCTTCCAGGAATGAGGAGGGGGAGGCAGAGGAGAAGCAAGCAGCTCCTCTATTTTTCCCAGTTTTAGGGTTAGAGTTAGAGTTTGAGTACCTTTGAAATAGCTTCTGCTCACTACAGCCAAAGAACCCTCCATCCCCTCTTTTCAGACTGTCAGATCTCAGAGTTCACCAGACCAAGACGCTGAAAATGGATCTAATTTATCCAACCCACGGGTATTTATTAAGCAGCCCCTGTCAGACAGATGCTAAAGGGTCCTTCCTGGCTGACCCCCTCTCCAGACTGTGCCTGCTCCCACTGGCTGTCCTGCTGCACTGTGCTGAGCTGGGACCCCAGTGTGTGTGTGTGCCTGCAGCGCGAGCCGGCTAGCAGAGGAGGTATGGACCTGGGATGGACGTGCCAGGCTGGGGCTATTGCTGTCCTGCTGCACTGTGCTGAGCTGGGACCCCAGTGTGTGTGTGTGCCTGCAGCGCGAGCGGGCTAGCAGAGGAGGTATGGACCTGGGATGGACGTGCCAGGCTGGGGCTATTGGAGGGGACCAGTAGAGTTATTTACCTTCCCCTACAGAAAGAAAAATTTGAGGATTATCTGTAGTAAATGATATAAAATTACGGTTTCTTCATGATACCACCACCATTTCCAAGTTCAGCACAGCACAGTATTTGAGCAGGCAAAAGAGGACAAGATGGGTGAAAAGAGGGAAAGCCTCAATAGAAATAATTTACCTCAATCCAATTTGTGGAGGACTTAACTCAGAAAGCCTATTTTTAATTCTAAAGATAATCCTATAAATATAGTGTATGGCGGCCAAAAAAAGTGTATGATTCATAGTTATTGTTATTCATATCTAATGAGTAAAAAAATTAGATAATGAGTTAAGAGAGGAGAAAAGACAAAGAAATATTTTTACGGACAATAAAAAGTTTCTAAGTATTTAATGTTAAATTAAATCTCTATATAAACCAAATATTTCGTTAAGAAATCCACTGAGATACTACTTTTTAAAGAACTGGCAGTATAGGAGAAAGGTGGAAGACCAGTAAGATGTTCTGATCCAAAGAATGATCAGAAAATGTATAATATGGAAATGCTGAGCAGTGAATAACTACGGGATTAGTAATGCATCAACTTTAGCATCTTAACAGTGTTCCAGAGGGGCGTTCAAATGGCTGTCCCGTTTACTCAGGTGAGATCCAGAAAGAAGCGAGAAGCAAGGCCCACGTGCGGAGCGTCGTAGGTCGGCTGCTCCCGAGTCGCCAACTCATTAGGATGAGAAGGGGCTGTAAACAGGCGTCCTTCCCAGCTCCGTCCACGCTGTGCGGCCAGGGAGCTGAGCCGGCTGCTGCAGACCAGGCCACAACCACGGCGTCTCCCCCGTTTCTCCTTCTTAAGAGCTGGCCGAGGCTGAGAAGCGGCGACAAGAGGCGGCAGCGAGGTCGGCAGAACGTGCTGGACGTTCCCCGTTCAGTCCGACTTACGAACGAACGCTCTGCACGGAGGATCTGCACACTGACCTAGAGGTCGGGCTGCTGCTCCACGGAGCTGCAGGAAGCGGCCTTTTGCCCAACCGCGGGGCCCGCGACGACCCTGGGGTGCAGGGGCCAAGCCCGTCTGTCTTTAAAACGAGACCGTAGGGGGCTAAACCCTCTGGAGGGGCGGAAACCGGGTCCGAGAGACGCCTGAGGGGAGACGGCGGGGGGACCCCGGGAGGGAGCCTGCGCTGCAGAAGGACAGGGCCCCGCGCGCTCACCGAGACGGAGGAGGCCGCTCCCTGGACGTCCGGCCCGAGCATCACCGGCCCCCGACTGGGAGCTCTGCGGCGCCGGGAGCCACGGGGCGCAGCCGACGCGGGCTTCGCCGCATCCCTTCGCCGGCGGCCGGGGCGGGGACCGGGGCGGGGAGGGACGGTCGCCCCACCTCCCCAGCGCCGCCTCCTCCGACGCGCAACCAGACGGGGTCGCGGCCCCTTTAAGAAGGCGGGGCATGGGCGGGTCCCGCCGGCCCCCG